TCCGTACACAGTGTACGGGAAAACCAGTTAAAGGGTTAATCATTTTTAATTTTGTAAAAACTAATTTGTAAAATAGTTTGATATATATTTATTATACTATCATTTTAATTTTTTATTTTCAGGACATCTCAGAGTTAATTTTTTTTTATTTTTCTATTATACATTGAAATAAAGCTTTTTCACTCGTGGGTTTCTGGCCAAATTTTTATTAAAAGGGGTCCATGATCACAATTAAGTCAAGAGCCACTCTTCTAGGAGATGTTTAGAAAAAAAATGCTTACATTTTTTAAAAGAATGCTATTTTAGCTTTACATTCCATCGTCGTACTATTTTTAATACGAGTTTAAGTTTGTATTCTTTTAACAGTTTATTTGATGTGTGTGTGTGTGTGTGAATGTTTAAACATTCTTAATTGTAATGAATTACAGAGGACCTTGTTCCTTTTCAATGATATAATTTTAAATACCTTCAGGGGCGGCTGTAGGGCCGGACAATCCGGACCTTTGTCCGGGGCGGCAAATTGTAAGGGCGGCATTTGGGTCGAATTTGATTAAACATATTTTTTTGTTACAAAAGATTGTATATATTTTTTGAAATATTATTGGGTGTAAATTTAATATTTCATTTTACGTTGTGACATCTCTCGCGTTCTTCTTCTAACATAACTCCTAAGTTCTTTGACGGCCACGATTAATGGCAAAACTTTTCCAACCCAATACCAAGAAGAAAAACGGAACGAATATGCAAATGAGATATACTTTAAAAGGATAGAAGGTTTGGTGAGATAGAACGGCAAACCTAGAGATAACTTAGTGTGGAATCGTTCGGAACAAGTGTTAGACGTCCTACAGCTCTGGAAGAAAGATACGCTCATCGTTATTAATAATAAGAAGGATTAAGAAACCCTGATTATTCTCTCCTACCAATAACATAATAGGAATATCTTCAACCTAGGAAGGAAGGTGACTCTATAAAAGGTAATATTTTGTATAGGAAGTTATATTAGACAGTTAAATAAATATAATTAATATAAGTGATCTAGTTGTGCGATATGACTTGAATATTAAGTAGAATTGGTGGCTTATTCTCACTTTAAGAAAGTTGTTATTTAGAATTAAGTAATTTAAGTTATATTCTTAATAAAAGTTGTGTTAAGAATCCAAAAATGTCTCATCTTTTAGATAATCCCACACCTCTAGCTTACGCGGATCACGTAAGACATGGCTATCGCAGGATGGCTATGTCTCAATGGCGCCCGAACTCTTTTAATTCTGGGTTAGGTAATGCAGGTGGATGTAATGTATTACCTGAAATGTATTTTTCAGGGTC